GGCCACTGACTGGCCGCTCAGGACCACTGACTGGCCGCCCAGGGCCACTGACTGGCCGCTCAGGACCACTGACTGGCCGCCCAGGGCCACTGACTTGCCGCCCAGGGCCACTGACTGGCCGCCCAGGACCACTTATTGGCCGCCCAGGGCCACTGACTGGCCGCCCAGAGGGGCCAGAGCCACTCACTTGTCGTCGAAGGTCATGTGGACTGTTCACAGGCCGCCCGGGGCCACCAGAGCTGCCCAGAGCTCTCCCAGAACCACCTGAGCCACTGGTGGGTCGCCCAGGGCCACTTGAGCTGCTTGCAGGGTGCCCAGGGCCACCTGTACCACTGAGTGTCCGTCCGGAGAGACTGAAGTCACTGGCTGGCCTCTTGGTCCCACTGACCGATCGCTCAGGTCCTAAGCTGGAGCTGCCGTTCTGGCGCCTGGGCACAGGGCCAGAACTAACTGTAGGCCGAGCAGTCCCTGTGCCGGGCCGTCCAGGAGCTGAGCTGGAGCTGTTGCCCGGCTGCCTGACACCTGGACTCTTAGCTTTATTGTGTGGGGTAACCATGGACCCAGGCCTGGAATGGCTAGGATGGGGAGGAGATTTTTTGGCTTTGTGCTCAGTAGCAGATTTCTGAGTCCCCTTAGCAGAAGTCTTTGGGACACTTGGTGAATAGGTGCTGGAGTGGGGCTTTCCAACCCCATTGAAGACAGGTCTGTCATGGCCCTCACGAAGTAAGGGTTGAGAGCAATTGACAGATCCTGCTTTGGTCCTCTCTCCTGGCATGGATTTGGATGAAGACAGACCTAAGTGTTTCTCATTGGCTGTGCTGGGTCTGGATTTCTTCTCAGCATGAGGAAGGGGAGTACCCCTGGAAGGATGTTTGCTAAGTTTTGTGCCCACACTTTCTTTCTGAGAGGGTGCCTTTTTGGTTGGAGGTAGTCTTGCATCTGTCTCAGGTCTCTTTTTCCTCTGCTTTCGTTCAAGGAATTCTCGCTCCCTAAGTTCTTCTGCAGTCATGGGCCGCTCTTCTGTTTTCTTCACTACCTTGATCTCCACTGGTTCGTACTGCTTTTTCTCAGCCAGCCTGAGTAGATCAGTGAAGTTCATGAGTGGTGGGGCACTTCTAAGGGGGACCTTTGGTTTGCTTTCAACTTTGGGAGGTTCTTGCTCTTCCTCATACTCCTGCTCTGACTCTGCTTGATTGTATTCTAAGAATTCATCTTCTTCTTCCATCTCATACTCTTGTTCTGTTCCCTGACTAGTGTGGCTTTCCACTGCCTGCCTCTTCTTTGACTTTTCCTCAACGGGAATCCCGTTGTAACCATGGAAATTATCCTTTGTCCTTTTCGCCATAGCTCTTGCTTTCTTGTCATGTTTTAGCTCAATTCGCTTTTTCACTAGTTCCTCTTTTCTCCTTTTCTCCTCTAAAGCTAAAAGGGACAAAACAAGAACAAAGTATTTCAAGGTCTGGAAGTCTTAGGTATTTCATCTGAAATCAACAGGTGGCCAAAACACAAGCAACATTCAGGTTACAGTTTGAAGACATCTAGGAATGAAATGAGGAAGTCCTTTGAACAAGTACCTGTTGAGTCATCTTTACATAATGAGTGGGTCACATATGGGTCTTTCAATATGACAAACAGGTGAGAGACTAGGCTTTTAGCTTTAAATATAGAAAATTCATACCAAATAAATATACCAGGTTAAGGAAACAGTAGGACCCACTTCACAATCATTATCAATTATGAATAAGTGAATACTTACATGTATTAAATCAGTTTCCTTGTCATTTGCCTGAGGTAAAACTACTGCTTGAGTTTACTGGTCTTCAAAAACTTTCCCTATTTTAACCTTTAAGATAGCATTCTTGATAATAATAAAAAAAAAAATTAAAAAACAAAATATGTAGAAGCAGATTCAGAATGAAGGTCAAAGAATGGAGTTCCTATTGGGACCTAGTGAGGCCAAGTGGAAAATATGGTCACTATCCCCAAAAGCTCTTAAGAGGAAATAAAAGATAATGTCCATTCAAATGATCAGCGTAAGAACATATGTAATCTTCTAAACACAGTTGATTCAGACACATACACAAATCCATCAGCCTATTATGTTATTACAAGCATCCACTAATTAAGTACAAGCTAGTTGTGAAGGTGGAAGACTTTAAAATTGAGAATAAGGCTATAGATACATACCTTTTTGCCTGAGCTCCTCTTCTTTTCTTCTGAGAAAAGCCTGAACGGCTGCAGATTGGACACCCTTAACTTTCGGGTCTTTTTTGGGAGGCCCCACTGCCAAACTATACCTTTTCTAAAAAGAAAAAGGAGTAAAGTTACAATCAATTCAACTTTAAAAATGTATTTGCTACTAGATTTAAGGCATCGTGCCAAGCAATTGAGAGGTTTATTTTTTTTTTTTTTAAGATTGATTTATTTATTCATTTGAGAGACAGAGAGAGAGAGAGAGCACGCGCTGGGGGGAGAGGCAGAGGAAGAATCTTTCTTTTTTTTAAGATGTTATTTATTTATTTGACAGAGAGAGAGCACAAGCAGGCAGAGCAGCAGGCCGAGGGAGAGGCAGGCTCCCCGTAGAGCAGAGGGCCTGACGCGGGGCTCGATCCCAGGACCCTGGGATCATGACCTGAGCCGAAGGCAGATGCTTAATGACTGAGCCACCCAAGTGCCCCAGAGAGGTTTAAATATTGACTGAAAAACTGATCCTGAATAATTAAGAGATCATATAACCCACCTGAAAGCTTAGCTATAAAATTTTGGTCTAAATAGGATTATGCAAGACTGTTTTTAAGTACAGAATTTCTTTGTAACATCCTAAATAATGCATAAGTGAACAATTCAGAGAAATACTATTTTCAGGTTATTTTCCCAAAAAGGTACTTGGACTGGGGAACTTTTAAAAAGAAATCACCACTTAGAACAGATTGTTTTAAAAAAAAAAATTTTTTTTTTTTTGAGAGAGAGAGCAAGCACAAGTGGGGGAGGGGCAGAGGGAGAGAGAGAAGCAAGAAGTAGTGTACTCGATCCCATGATCTGACTGAGCCACCCAGGCACCCCTGGATTGTTTTAAAATTCTGATTAAAAAAAAAAAAAAATCAACCTTCTTTAGAACTAAGTATTTCAAAGTCTAACTTTTAAAACAGAAAAACTACTCATAAATATTTTCTCTCCTGAGTACCTGACACACCCCTGACCGAAATCCCAAGAGAGCACCCAGATTCCTTTCTCAGTCACTTTGGTTGAGTCACAAAAAATCCAGTAGTAAGTCCCTATCTTTGTGCCTTTTCCATTGTGGATTGGGGCCCCATATTTAAAGAAGAAATGGAGAGGGAAAGGAACACTTAGAGAAAGAGAATACTGCTTTACCTAACTAGCTACATAAAATTGTCCTGGTGTACAAGAACCTCAAACATAGGCCTTATCTACAAGAAGTTCACCTTTTCTTAATGGAAGAGCCACCAAGAATATGATTCAAGTTGCATAAGACATATATAGACTTGTAAGGAGACACATACACTCATTTCACCCTATCCCATTAGGTAGATTTGTAAGAGGAAAGATGGATTTTTATGGCCAAGACTTAAGATTTTCCTGTGTCTGCAAGAACCTAGTCCATGGATTCACCTGCCAAATCAAAGCTTATACAAGGTTTCCCCCCACAAAATACCAATATACATGTTAGTATTACCTTAAACAGCATTGGTTCATTATCTTGATATTACAGCAATGAGCACTTCCTAATTTGATCTTAGGACAGATAGCTTTCTTCCTAATCTGGGACTTCAAGAGATAGGTAATGGGATAGGACTAGCTGAAAAGCTACTCACGACTAAATACAGGCACCCAGAGAGAAAGCAACAGTGTCAATGGGGCAGAGTTGACTAAGCTTCAGTCATTTGCATAACATCTTCATAATTTTTGGCCTTTTAGTATGCCACCTGTATTATAATTTACTAATTTTAAGAAAACAGACCTAACACCATGACTTATTATAGTTTTACTTCAAACAATAATATCCATGAAATGATTGGTTTGAAAGGCTACATTTTTCCAAATCATATTAAAATATAACCATTTAAAAAATAATATATATACACACATATATACATACACACACACGTATATAACTGTGAGAACTAAAAGTATTTATGTATCATCTAAAATCGCAGTACAGTCAGAGCTATATGCACTGCACTTTGGGAAACACCAAAAAGAAACATAAAAATATAGGAAAGGCAGAACACAAAGAAGCAGCAAAGGACGGGGGTGTTCAGGATCTCAGATTCACTCAGAAAAGAATTCCAAAGATTACCTTTAGCTTTTTTCAAAGTATCCACCTATTTCCATCCATTCACACTGCCAATTTTAAATTCAGCTTTTTTGTTCTAACACCCCTAATCCTCAAGGGTACTTATTAAGCTAGCTTTACATTTAACCCAATAACTTTGCAGTACTTTTTGTCCTGTCCTATGATGTAGAAGGGATTCAATAAATCTATAAAAAGTCTTATTTCATGGGTCTGCTAGGAAACAAGAAGGGCAAGGTCCTAACTTGATGAGGTTTAATCTTATTCAGTGACATGAGCTGAGTCATAATCAATAGTTTCTTATATCCTTTGTAGCTTGATGCACTCAAAAGCAGACACCAGGAAAATACTGAAATATTCTCTTTAAAATATTCTCTTAGGCAAAGTTTAGGTCAAAACCTTGAAATCTGGGGTTAAAAAGGGGGGGGCTGGGTCTTGACAGATGATTTTCTTAACAGTTGTATTAAGATATAATTCACATACCATAAAATCTACCCAGTTAATGTGTACAATTCATTGGGTTTTAGTATGTTCAGAGAGTTGTACAACCATCACCACTATTGGATTCCAGAACATTTACATTATCCCAAAACAGAAATCTCTTACTTTTAGCAGTCATTCCCCACTTCCTCTTGCCCCTCTGCCCCTGGCAACAGTTAACCTACTTTCTGTTTCTGCAGATTTGCCAATTCTGGACATTTCACATAAATGAAATCATGTACCCAGTGTACCATTATATAGTGATATGTATCACAATATAAGGTAAAATTTACAGACCACAGACAAACGGTTATATATATGAGTGCTTATACAACATATGTAAGATTTTTCAATTTGGAAAACCCTTATTGTTAATTTTCACTTGACTCTACTATTAAGTTTGAAAATAGATGTCTTCCCAAGGCCAAGAAAATATCTTTGGGAGAATGCTCTGTAAGTTGGTTCCTAACACCCTTGAACTGAGTTATTATAATTATTTCTCTGGCTTAACTAAAATTAAGAAACGATTAGTTTCTATGACCATTAAATGTTTCAGTAAGGGTATCACTTTAATTCTTTTGAAGTAAAAACAGAATATATCTAGAACTTTTATTTTTATTTTGTACCTAGAACTTAAAAATGACAATTACGTGAGTTAATACCTAAGTAAATTTAAATGGTGATAATGTAATTGTACTCATTTTACTCTGTTGTCAGTGTTGACTTCTCTAATAATTTTTTTTCTCAAATAAAAACTGAAAGAAAAAAATGAATTCACACAATATATGGTTTTCATGGTCAATTTTATATGTCAACTTGGCTAGGCTATAGTGCCCCTTATTTAGTCCAACACTAATCTAGGTATTGCTATGAAGGTATTTTGCAGGGATGGTTAACATCTACAATCAGGTAACTTTAGGTAAAGCAATTTACCCTCCATAATGTAGGTGGTACTCATCTATATCAGCTGAAGGCCTTAAGAGCAAAAACTGATGTCTCTCAGAGAAGGTATCTGCTCTACAAATTTCAGACTTGCCAGCCCCCACAACTACATGCACCAATTGCCTAAAATAAATCCTATTGGTTCTGTTTCTCTGGAGAGCCCTGACTGATACAGTGGCCTCTGTATCTTGGTACTTTCACTTATTCATGTCATAACATGTATCAGTACTTCATTTTTTTTATGGCTGAATATTTCACGGTGCTGATATACCACATTTTATCTATTCATAAGTTGATGGGTATTTGTTTTTACTTTTTGGCTATTATGAACAATGCTGCTGTGAACATGTATGTACAGGTTTTTTGTGTGTGAGCATCATTTCTCTTTGGCATATCACTATAGATCTTCTTAACACTGAGCTGGTATCAAAAGATTTAAGACTTGTTGTAATAGAATATATTAGATAATCCCCTGGCCCTACAGGGGTAGCCCAGTAGAGAACCATGTTTTAAAAAAGCCTCAGGCTGGGATTACATTATATTCTATTTAATAAAGCAGAACTATTTGGCACTTTCTCCTGCATCAGATGGTCACATTTAGCTCTAGCAGCAGCACATCAAGATGCACCCACCAATTCTGAATCCGATTCAAGGCACCAGGCTGCTTCATTGTTTGAGCTTCATGAAAAGCAGCTGGACAAGAGTTTCTTTTATCCTAAGTGTATCCATTTTATTATACTGCAAGCCAACTCAGTCATTCTGCTGGACCCCAATGAATGATCCACAGTAGTGAAGCTTATGCCATTTAAATACAGTATGAGAGATCTTGCCAAGATTTGCAATTCTGAAGCCAACAGACCTAAAAAAACATTAACTCACTTTAAGACATATGTGTTCCTTGCACTGAAATTATACTGCCATGGTCAGATTACGAAAATAAGGAGTTTTCTGTCTGGAAACATGTGTTAACCAAATACATTATGTTGGAATCAATGGTCAATCCCTTCTTGAAAAGTTGTTCTTTACTAAGGAGATAACATATTGTTGTAAAAGTAGAAAACAAATTTCCTGATAGCTTTACATATATTAGAGATTTATTATTGGTTAGAATTAGGAGTTAGGAATATTCAAAGAATACATCCTTGAATTTAATAATCACTACACAATTTCTAAAATGTTCTCAAAACATCATAGTCAGGGGGCGCCTGGGTGGCTCAGTTGGTTAAGCGACTGCCTTCGGCTCAGGTCATGATCCTGGAGTCCCTGGATTGAGTCCCGCATCGGGCTCCCTGCTCGGCAGGGAGTCTGCTTCTCCCTCTGACCCTCCCCCCTCATGTACTCGCTCTCTCTCATTCTCTCTCTCTCAAATAAATAAATAAAATCTTAAAAAAAAAAAAATCACAGGGAATAAATACAGGCCTGGAAAACGAATGGTTTGCATTAGGTTTGCTTAGCTGGGTGGCTAAGAGGGTAAAAATAAAACAAGCATGTTATTCAGGATGCTATAGGATCAAATAGTAAAATTTACTATTACTGTGTCTATAAAAATATACCTGATTATAAAATGTAATATCAGATAGGTACCTCAGAGCCTCTTCTATGTTAGAAGTGGCCCCAAAAGTACAATTGTGTATTTACTGGTTGTCACTCACAGAGTTTGTAACAGAGTGTGAATTAGAATCTAGGTCTCCTGTTTCAGGTCCAAAAGTATTCCCACTACATGTCTCACTTCTAACTTAATCCCAACACTTTCATCCAGCTCTAACCACAATCTTAAATGCCCTTCCCTAATTTCCATCTGCCTCTTGGACGGTGCCAAGACCTCAAACAGGTCCACCACTTAATTTTCTATCTTCCTTCACCCTCAGACTATTTCTGTTAACCATGCTGGCACTCTCCCCAACAGGCTGTAAATCTCTCTCTACCCACCAGTTTCCAAATTCTGTTGGTTTGCCCTTTAAATTTCTCTCCCATCAGACTTGATGAGAAATGCCATAAAAAACCAAGAGTTATTGTCTAAAGCTATATTAGGCTGGAGTTGAGGGTAGGAAGCTGGATGGGTCTAGGCTTTATAGATGACAACCATCCTCACATCCAATATACTCCTCATTTAACACAGGATCATGATTAAGAGTAAGAACTCTGGAGCCAGTCGGCAAATTCTCTGCTCTGCCATTAGTAGCCTTGTCAGGTATTAGCTGTATGACTTTAGGCAAGTTTCTTCATCTCTCTGGGCCTCAGTTTCCACATCCGTAAAACAACCTTCCTTATATGGTCATTACAGTGATTAAATTAATTAATATACACAAAGTGCTCAGAATAGTGCATGGCACCAAGTAAGCATTATAAATGTTAATTATTTTTGTTATCATTATTATTCAGAAAGAGATTCTCTTAGGTAGTGATGGGGAAGAGAAATAACAGAATCTCTGCAGGGGTAGCTTTTCTAAAAAAAGACCTTCTCCCTAAAACACTGGTTAACAAATAAATAAATAAAATCTTAAAAAAAAAAAAAGTACGGCTCTAGGCTAGCAATCCAAAGCTACTTCAGGCCCTGGCAAAGTCATCTTTAGATGCAAGCATGGGGAGCAATCCCATTATAACTGATTACAGACCAAAAGTTACAAAGTGACTGCCTGCAGAAACAATTTTGTTGGCTCCTACTGTTCTTTAAAAGGAAATAGGGGCACCTGGGTGGCTCAGTTGGTTAAGCATCTGCCTTCCGCACAGGTCATGATCCCAGAGTCCTGCATCGGGCTCCCTGCTCAGCTGAGAGCCTGCTTCTCCCTCTGCCCCTCCTCCTGCTCGTGCTCTCTCTCAAATAAATAAAATCTTAAAAAAAAAAAAAAAAGGAAATATAACTACTATAACACACGGTAGGCTTCTTTTGAATACACAGAGCTTGGCCCATATCATTTTATATCCAGACTACTTCAAGAACTTACATTACCTACCTGGCCCTGAAGACACCTGAATTTGCCACCCCAGTTAGAGTCCCTAAGCTCCTTTTTCAGTACCTATATTCTTTTTTGGCGGGGAGGGGAAGGGAGAGGGAGAGAGAGAGAGAGGGAGGGAGGGAGACACGGAGAGAGGGAGGGAGGGGGGAGGGACAGAGGGATGGAGAATCTTAAGGAGGCTCCATGCCCAGCACAAAGCCTGATGCGGGGCTCAGTCCCAGGACCCTGAGATCATGACTTGAGCTGAAATCAAGAGTCAGACTCTTAATCAACTGAGCCACCCAGGTGCCCCTCAGTACCTATATTCTTATCCTCAAAGGCTTATCACCCCCAAATCCTTATTTCTAGTACCACATGAAGGCTTCTTCTTTACTTTTTGGTTTGAGGGTCACACCAGAACTACAGTATCTTGTCTGGGATGATTTTCAGAGTATGGCTGTGAGAAAGACCACATAACTTGTCTCATGCACTACAAGCCATCAATTATAGGTACTTGCAACCTACAAGAATCCATATTCCAAGCTCTACCATTCTGTCAAAAGAAGAAACTTTGTTTTTGCTAGAGGAACTAGGGAGAAAAAATTTAAGTCATGATTACCAAAAATATCTTTTCTCCTTTAAATTTAAACAGAGCCTGAGACAATAACTGGTTACATCACCCTGATCAGCTGTTTTTTAAATTCAGTTTTCCATTGGGAAATGATAGCATGCCTAATATTGCTAGGCATGATGCAATACTTCCTTTGTTTTAACTAAAACATTATAAAGATAACTATTTTTCCTAAAAAGAACAGGAAAGAAAGAGGTTGCATTAATGTTCATTGTTTCTCAAACCAGATACAATAGATACCTCTTAAAAATGATGCCCTGGAAAGAGTCCAAAGTGGCAGTCCAGGTGTTTTATCTGTTAGCCTCCCTTGGAGCTAATCAGTGCTAGTCACCATATGTCCTCTCTGTAGCAAAGGTCTGACATAGGAACTCTGAAGACTGGAATCTGAATATCAGCTCTGATAAGATCCAAATGGAAGGTGGGGAAGAAGACTAAACGGGAAACAAGAACCAAGCACTAGAGAGGGAAGGAGTTACACCTGTCAATTACTGCAAAGCCTCTGTGGCTCTCAGACCATCAGTCAATCAAGCTTGTGGCAAACATGGGTGTAGGGGGTGGAGGGTGGGGTGTGTGTGTATGTGTGACTTGAAATGTTTCTTGACTTGGATGATGGTTTACGTGTGTGTGTGTGTGTATGTGACTTGAAATGTTGTTTCTTGACTTGGATGATGGATTACAAGGATACCTGCTTTGCAATAATCTATTATACTGTACAATATATATTTCAAAATTGATGGTGTGCTTTCAGAGGCTTTACTTTGAGCTGATAAAGTAACTTAGAATAATTAGATGAACCAAGTGAAAGCAAGATCATGGATTAAATTTAACTACTATCTTGCTCTGTTCCTCAATAGTTTCTTTTGTGATATACTTCATCTGATGTAAAAAGATAAGGATTACAATGGTAACTAAATCAAACTTCTAGGCTTACTAGCTTTTTGTGGGGGGGTGGGGGTGGGCAGGGGAAAGCATGCTTTCATAAAATATATGCCTATATTCATCTATTAAATTTTAAATGACCTCACCAATTTACCTGTCTTTTTTGCTTCCAATCTTTGTTATTTCAATCATGGATCTGTTGACAGATAATGAACATATTCTGAAATACAGATTTTGAAATCTTCTGCTCTAGGAGTATCTGCTTTTCTCCCAGCAACTACTGGTTTTTAGAATAAGAAATGATTAACTTGATTCTCATTCTTCTAAAGAATCTAACTGGACATCAAAGCTAGTATTATCTATTTTTTGACCTCCACTGAAATTCAGGAAGATCTAGAATAAAAATATATGGACCTAATTATGCAAAGATGAATGGTTACCAGCTCCAATATTGACTTGCCTAGGAAATTTACAGTATTTGCAGAAAGTGAATTCTGTTGTTCAAGGTTTCAAAGGTTTAAGCCCTTAACTTCAACCTGCAGATCTTATGACTCATGGCTTAGGGGAATGACTGATTATTCAGAGTACTTGGGGTGGGAGATGAATATAGGGGAATTTAATAAATATTAAACTGACAGATATCAGTTTTATTTACCAGTTATTTTACTATCTTCAGATTAATATTTTCAAAAGGGTAAAAAAAAATGGGCCAGCCTCAGAAGAAAAGCGCAGGAGTGGGAAAAACCAAACCAAACCAAACCATTGCAAATACACAAAAATCTAAGAAATGCAGAACGCATAGTGAGAGCTCAATAAATTCCAGTTGAACTGACTTTAACAGAGAGCTGGTTGAGCTCTACACCTCACTGGTCAAACCGCAGGTATCACAATGCAATTTGTCGGTTTACAGCTGTGCTGTGGGTACCATCTGAGGATCCAGAAATGATTAGTTTATGCAAAACAGCTACAACCCCGCAAACCAGGCACTCTCCATGACTTCATGTAGATTTCAAAAGTCTTACACCGCTCTGCGAATATTAGCGAATTGGCAAATATTACCGAGAAAATGGAACCTAGATTTCAAACAAAGACAAATCTGGAAGGCCACAAGTAAACGGAAGGTGAAACTAGCTCACCCATTCTGCTGGCCAAGGACTTCGTGGAATCCGCTCAACTTCTCTTCCCAATACAAAAGGTATTATTAACCCTTTGGGACGTTATAATTTTATCATCTCGTTGGCTGGGTGGGTGGGGCCACAAGTCAGAAAACTTGTTCGAGAAATCACAATGTTCAACCCCATCTGAGGCGGGAAATCAGCCAAAAAGCTATCAGGCCAAGTCCCTAAAACCCCTGAAACTCCCCAACATACATGCTTCCTTCCCAACCTCTGGGCTGAAGTTTACGCCGAAGCCAGAAACTACTAGCGCTAGATTCCACCATGTACCAGGCACGGTTTCACTCATCAGCTTTCACGCAACTCTAAAACACCCGAACTGCAAAGTCCAGGTTGCAGGGGTGACTAAGCCAGGGCAACTCACTCTCCGGAAGGCTTCCGCCTCTCACCCCAAGCTCCTTTTCACCCTGAGTCCCCAGGAGTGCATGCCCAAGAAAAGGAAATAAGGAGTCCAGATCTTTCCCGGAGAGGACAGGCGGATGCCTGGAAGTTCCACGGGCCACAAATTCCAAACTTGAAGATTAGGGTCTCCTACAGTAGCGCCCGGCTAGTACTTACCGGCACATTGTTGACACCCTGTCCTTTGGAAGCTATCAGGAGAATTTCCCTGAAATCCATGTTGGCTGAGGCAGAGACACTGGGCCAGGCTCTCGGAAAGAAGTGAACGTACGCTGCTACCGAAGCGCCCAGCTACAGCCAAGAGAACTGCCTGGCCCACCCCTCTCCCACCCCTCCTCAGCACGACCACTTCCGGCGCCTTCCAATACCGTCTGCCCGCCCCTTTTCCTCTTGCGGCCTATATCCTTTCAGGTCCGGCGCTCCGACCGCGAGTCCCTGGCGTAACTTCCGCTTTCAGGCTCCAGACACGTAGAAACGTGGTACGTGGCTGCTGGCGTTAGCTCGGAGGGGCGGGACTAAGCCCTTCACCGACCAAGCAGACGCGGCCTAGGAAAATGAGGGGTGTGGCTAAGGGAGAGAGAGGCTTCCCTGGAGGTCGGGGTGCGCGACCCGACAATCTCGGTGTTCCTTGTGAGCTCTGAGTAGGGTGAGCGAGGGGGTGGGCGGGTTACCTACCAGGCCTGGGTTCGCTGGGTGTCACGGGTGGGCGCTCAGGTCCGAAACGGCGGGGCCCCAACAGCTGAACCGACAGGTCTCGAGCAGGGGATTTCAGTTACCGGTTTCTAGGCGCTCGTGAAGTTGCGCAGGCGCACATGGCACCGAGTAGTCTTCAGTCTTGGATACACATTACTCATCACGTCCTGGCACATGGTGTGTGCTCACCTCCACAGATGCATGCATGTCGTGTATAGAGGCGCAGGCTTAGTGCTTTTGCTTCATCTAGATAATAAGCTCCACGTAGTGGATGAATGAAGGAATTCTTTACATAAAGACCCAGTCTGGACATACTTGGTGCACTGATGAAACATACATATATGCCCCATATTCATATTAACTGGGAGTCCAGTCTTGGGTTCCTTTTAAGAGTATCTGGGCCCCGTAAAGTCATCTCGTTCAGTAAAACACACTAGACCTGGGGTGGGAATAAGCCACGACTGGCTGCTAAGTAATTGGACAGATCTTTTCAGTGTGATGGAAATGTTCCCAAATTGGATCATGGTGATGATTGTGCTGTAAATTTATTAAAAGTCATTGTACACTTAGAACAGGTGAATTTTACAGCATGTAAATTTAAAGTTGTTTAAAAGTATTAGGCAAAGCTGCTTGGTCGTACTCTTTACAACTGAAGTTTTAATGCTGGGCTGTGGCCCTGACTGCATTTCTCCATTTAAGGCTGCCCAAACAACAGACCCAGATGAAGTCTTAGTCTGTTGGCAGACCTGGAATTCTCAACCTTCCTATTCCCTCGGAGGAGCCCAGCATAGCATACAGCTCACCTACGCTATACATTCCTTTCAAATACATGCCCATCTACTTGAAGTAGTTCTCACTTGCAGGAGGCCAACTCTACAAATATTTCTCCATCATGATTATAGATTTAGAAGCTTGAGTGTAATGTACTGAAAAAGCTAGTAGATCCCAGGTGCCTCAACTGTAAAAAAATTAAAACTAAGATTTTTGAATTTCCTTCAAGTGATTCCCTCTATTCAGCAGGTATAGTCATCTTTCAATGTTTTCTGATGGTTCTTAGGATAAAGACCAAAATCTTAATCCTAACTGTAGGATTGTAAGGACTGCCATGATTTGCCCTGGCTCACTTCTGTAACCTCATCAGCTCTACTTTTTCATTCCCTTATTTGTGCCAAGCTCTCTTCCACTCCAGGTCCTTTCCCCCTTTCTCCCCTCTGCCTGGTCTATTCCCTGTAAACTTGCTGAGCCAGCTCTAACTCATCCTTCAGCACCATAAGCCTTTGGTGAGTGGTTATCTGGGTTTAAGCCCCAGTTCTGTTGATTCCTAGGTATCGCTTGACTTTAGGGCTTGACCTTAGTCAGGGCTTGACCTCTCTGTACATCAGTTTAATCTATATAATTAAAATAACAACGATAGGATTGCTGTAAAATAATTCAAGTAAGCACTATAGTACATGGCTGTTATGGGCTGAGTTGTGTGCCCCCAAAATTCATTTGAAGTCCTAATCCCCAGTACCTCAGAGTGTGACCATATTCGGAGATAGGGTCTTTAAAAAGATAATTAAGGGGCGCCTGGGTGCTCAGTCGTTAAACATCTACCTTTGACTCAGGTCATGATCCCAGGGTCCTGGGGTCAAGCCCCGCATCACATCGGGCTTCCTGCTCGGTGGGAAGCCTGCTTCTCTCTCTCCCACTCCCCTTGCTTATGTTCCCTCTCTCTCTGTGTCTCTCTCTGTCAAATACATAAATAAAATCTTTTAAAAAAAAGATAATTAAGTTAGAATGAGGTCATTAGAGTGGACCCTAATCCAATAAGATGGGTGTCCTTATAAGAAGAGGAAACATGGACGTAGACAGGTACAGAGGAAGACCTTGTGAAGAACAGGGAGAAGATGACTATAAGTCAAGGAGAAAGGCCTCAGAAGAAACCAACCCTGCTTACACCTTGATCTCAGACCTCTAGCCTCCAAAATTGTGAGAAAAGAGGTTTCTTTTTTTTTTTTTAAAGATTTTATTTATTTATTTGAGACAGAGAGAATGAGATAGAGACAGAGAGAGCATGAGATGGGGGAGCATCAGAGGGAGAAGCAGACTCCCTGCCAAGCAGGGAGCCCGATGCGGGACTCGATCCCGGGACTCCAGGATCATGACCTGAGCCGAAGGCAGTCACTTAACCAACTGAGCCACCCACGCGCCCTGAGAAAAGAGATTTCTGTTGTTTAAGCCACTCAGTCTGTTGTACTTTGTTACAGTAGCCCCAGCAATCGAATACACTGGCATATGCTGAGTATTCAATAAATGTCAGGTATTATTTCTCAAGGAAGCACTTTCTGAACTAGTTTAGGACCCCTTTTGTGAATTCTTACAGCTCCCAGTGTTTTCCTTAATGGAATCTTTCATGGTTTATATTTACATGTTTGTGCTTTTTTCTTTCTAACTCTTGGTTATGTCATGCTAGATTGTAAGGTCTATGAGAACAGGGACCACGCCCATATTACCCATTACTATTCCCATCACCAGCACAGTTCCCTGTTCATGTACATAAAACATGATGCATATTTGAAAGTTGTTAATAGAGTAGATATTAAAAGTTCTCATCACAAGAAAAAAAATTTGAAACTATGGTGACGGATGTTAAAGTAGACTTACTGTGGTCATCATTTCACGATATATACAAATATTGAATCATTATGTTGTATGCCTGAAACTAATGCTATGTGTGAATTATACCTCAATAAATAAAGGAAAAAGACCTACCATCAAAAAATTTCTACAGTTTGGGACCAAATTAATGAATCTTTAAATGAAAAGCCTTCAATATTCAATATCATAATAGCTAATATATGTTGAGCCCTTACCATATATATATATATATATACCAAGTGCCTGACCTGGATATCATCTGATTTAATCACAAATGCCTATAGTAAGGCACTTCTTGTTACTATTTTATAAATGAAAAAAACTGGACTAATATTATACAATTAGTCAATGGGAAGCCAACACTATCTGTGAGACATTAGCCACCATGCTAGACTACCTCTTTATATTTCAACTAGTCCATTTGAACTGGTGTAAATATATACACATAAGATCATAATCTAAGAGAGCTTAGATTAGGTAACTAATATATAGTTACTCAAAATCATCAAGAACAACAGTTGGAGGTGGGAGTGAAGTAAGGAATGAGAGGGAAGGTGCCATTTTCCTATACCCAAATAAAAGAAAATGTATTATCATTGAATTCAGCAAATATTTCCCGAGGAACTACTGTGTGCCCAGCCCTACATACAATATAAAGAAAGGAAAAACGAAGCCCTTGCCTGGTCAGGGCCTTCATTCTTACATGAACACAAGTAACAATGATATATTAACCGCGTTAGGGTACAAAGTACTGGGGATAGAGTTGACAGATTTAGCAATAAAACAAGATGCCCAGTTGAATTTGACTTTCAGGTAAACAATAAAAACCACTAGAAACAATCGTTTATCCGAAATTCAAATTTAACTGGGTGTCCTGTATTTTCCTCAGCAACCGGAGAAGTGATAGAATTCCAGTTAGAACAGGAGCAAAGACAAGAGAGGCAGGAAAGAACACAAGAGGATTCAGAGAACAGGTCGTGGATGTATTTAGAAGAAAATAAAGTCAGGAATAAGGGTAGGAGATAAGGTCAAAAAAGTAGATGAAGCCATATTGTGAAGGTCTTGAGAGCCAGGAGGGCAGGAGGAAGAGGAGCTAGGAAAAGACCAGGCAGAAAGGCAGGCAGAGAACCAAAGGAGTAGAGTGCAGTGTTCCCGGAAGCAACAGAGAAGACTTGCCAAGGAGAAGGGGACAAGCTAATAGGTCTAGGCTTCACATGTCAAATGCTGCGAAGAGGTTCAGTAGGAAGAGGACCGTGAAGGTCAACTGAGTTGATCATAGGAAAATTAAAATCACGAGGAGGTACCCTTTTTACCCATCAGATTAACAAACTTCAAAAAGTTTGAAAATAAGCAATGTTGGTGAGGGTCAGGGAAATAAGACACTGTGGTGGGAATATAGATTACCTTAACCTCTTTGAGGGCAATTTGACAAACTAAAGAATTAATATACTATACTAAAGACCCATGCTATATGTTTATTGCACACCAGGTGTTCTTCCAAGCAGTTTGTGTATATTAACTCATCCAGTTTTCACAGCAACCCTCAAGACGGAGGTACCGTGACAGATGGGGAAACTGTGGCACAGAATGGCTAATGGACCTATCCAAGTGCACCCAACTAGGAAGTGGCAGAGCCGGCACTTGGCTCCAGGCTTGTGTTCTGTTACAATATACCGGCTTTCTCAGTCAAAAGTCTAAAATACAACTACTCTAACACAGAAATTCCCTTTATAGGAGAATGTTCTACCAGAATATTCACACACGTGTGCAAAGACAATTGAACAGAGTTATTCACTGCAGCATGGTTTGAAAAACAACCTGAATGTCCATTAGTAGGAGACTAATTAAATACATATTGATACAACCTTAGAATGGAAAACTATGCAGCTCTTACAAAGACGGAGGCAGATCTATATGTCTGACTATTTCTGAGGTATACGGTTATCAATCAATATCAATCTCTGAGATATATGGTTAAGTGAAAAAAGCAAGATGTAGAACAACGTGTGCTATTAAGGGGGTTAGAAATGAATATAGATATATATATACACACATCTATCCTTGTACGTGGAAAGATCATCTTCGAACA